CGTGACGATGTGGAGATGATTAGGTCTATGTTTTTGTCCTACACTATCATGATATGTGAACTTTGACCAGTCTAATAATGAGGCCAGTAATTCGTTGACATGTAAACTTTAACATTAGCTTTGAAATTCTTGAACCCTCAGCTCAGAAGGTCTAATTATCATCAAACATTGAATCTGGACATACAAAATCAAAGAGATAATCCTAATAAATTGCACAATTATTAAAGGTATGCATGTATTTTAAGATTTCACTGTTTACACCCGTTACTGTTGCAATTTTTTTAACATTAAGGGACTTCTCATGACACTGCATTATCATTTTTCAATTAAAATGCAGTAAAACATGCTTCAAATCACGTTACCGATCGGACTTTGTGGGTTTGCTTGACAGGATAAAAATGTTTTTAAAAAGCAAGTGCAAAAATTAAGGAGGATCTCTACACTTACAGATGTATAAAGTATAACTGATTATTGTTGCATGCATTTGTTTCAAATAATAGGCTCCATATCCGATAAAATAAGGTTCCAAAATATTTCAATTTATTTTTTAGAAATATCTGAAATATCTTATTTATTTTGTTAAAAACCCCTAGTTCTCTATTTTTAAAAGCTCAGTGCTTTAAATAACCAACAACGTTTAAAAAAAATGAGCATATTTTTTATTTAAATTTACAAAAATAGACAAAAGAAAAACTAAAACAGCATTTTCTTGAGAATAGCTGGTTGGATATTCTCCAGTATTTGAAAAGTTTCGTAATATCAAAGGGTAAAAACAATGAAAAATGAAATTGAACAAAATTGAAATAAACTGTCAAAACTTTTAAACATCACAAAAATTCACGTGTGAGATATCCGCTTCAAGAGTGGGCTCAAATATCTTGGAACTGTTTTTTTATAAACTTCAAATAAACTGTACTATAACTTGCACAAGTATTGAATAAAAGTTGTGAAGCAAGGACATAATTGAAAGAAGTTCGTATTGTACATATATTATTTTTCAAATGAGTTTAAGCGAAAACCATCACGTTTCCAGTCAATGACAAAGACATGTATTTAGTGAACTCATTGTATTGAGAAAAGTTGATTTACTAACCGTTTTTACCAACTTGCATGTGTTATCCAGTGCTAGAAATAACAAAATGTAAACATGGTAAATGACCAAAAGCGGGTAAAAGAAATTCCTACAACCAAATTCACACTTCGTCTAAAACATGCACGTTCCCATACAAACAGATGATAATCAATGTTGATCAAACGTTTGGGTCATGCAAAATTCCAGTTACTTTTCAAACGTTTTGGTGATTTCATGAAGAGTTTAAATTTCACCAGGTATAACCATTCATTCCGATTTAGGGTGTATACAAATCTTGAACGGAGTATCCTCTAGTCTATGGAAAGATAGTACATATGATAATATCCTATAGGGATCAGGTGCCATGGAGGAGTGATCATGCCCTGCTGACCGGTCACACCTGCCATATGTTCCTTGTCATAACAGGGAATAACAGAAAAATCCGTCGTCAATTCAGTGTATAAATAATGGATTAACAATTGGTATGAAAAACGTCAGTCAGCATTTGACTCAATGATAAATGGTATTCGCTGACAAGGTCATGTATCGACCGTAGAACTTACGAAATGATGACTTTAAACAAGACTGCTGATATTCTTGTTTCGTCAACTTGCTTGTCAATAATTTTTCTCGTTTTTGACTTCATAAGTAGAGCATGCTCTTGCGTATCGAATCAACTGAGATATATATACACTCCGTATGCAGGTGATGTACTAGGTATATTGCTGCATAAGTAAGGGAGGTTGACGACAGAAAAGTTAAAGTCATCACGTTTATCATATAGCTTGGTTGTTAGATTACCATTAACGTCTTTTTCAGGTAAAATATCCAAGTATGACACAAATGTGTCAGACTCTGTGGTATCTTTTATCTCAAGCTCTTCAGGATATATCGTATCGATATAGGGATGGAAATTGCCATTGTAAATTGACAATATCTAAATGTCGAGTTGAAGGCCACAGCAAGTGTTTTCTTCGTTTCACGCATAAAAATAAATTTTGCATCGTATGAATATAAAAAAATAGGTCTGCCAATAACCGAACGCAGTTGGTACCCATGAGATTCCCAATAGATTTTTGGAATTTTTTTTATATCTTTATTGGTAAAATGAAAAAATTCCGCGCTGACACAAAAAAGTCCTTACTACTTAATGATCCTGAGTGCAGAATAAAGGTCTTTAATTGAGGTCCCGTTTTGTGACGCATCTATGAGACTATATGTTCTCAAACAGGATAAAAACAACATGCAATCAATTAATCATTTGTAGAGATTGCGTTATTTTACCTTCATTCTTGAAGAAGGTCATTTTAGGTATTATAGATTACATAGCTCATCTCAATGTATGCAAGAGTTAATACTCTCTAATGTTGTATTACGCTTTGTTCCTTGTTTCTTTTTTATTAAATTTGGCCTATTTATTGTGCGCTATTTATAATTGCCCTTTCAGTATGTTTTTTTTTAATATTATTGTTCTAGACTGGTATAGTTATAAAAATGCATTAAGGTGAAAAGAGTAAAACTAAAACGATAATGAATAGTTGTTTGCTATAATGAAACCTGTTAAAACTCTAGAATAAACATTATCAAAGATAAAAAAAAACACTTGAAAATAACAGGGATTGCCCAAGGCACACAATACCTTGTAGCATTCAATGACAAACAATCAAAAAATTAGATACTATTTTATTTGGCTGAATGGGCCACGGCCGCTTAAATGAAGGAGCCGAGGCATCAAAATACTGCCTTGTTATGACATCCTTAAAATGCAAAGGGGACCCTGGGAACAGATGGTCACCTTTCCTGACTAGTCCAAAATGCACTTAAAATATTCAGTTAAATGACAATAAGTACCGAAAGCCTACTGGTGAGCCTAAGAGTCGCAGGTCCCTTGACTGTTGGTAAAGGCTGATACAAAAGGGCGACCGTGACGAGGTGTTCTTCCATAAATTTGAATTCAGCTACACACAAACGCTTTGAAAAAATTAAATACGAATACGGCAGAAAAACAATTTTAAAAAATACAAATGAAACCATGGATTATTTACACTTAGTTAGAAAAATAAAACACACTTGCATTTTGCCTATTTAAATCATTCAACCATTAGTTCACAGAGATAGGAGGATGGGTGAAAGTTTTAGCGTCGACTGATGACACAATGTGGTGTTATGTCAAATGTTCTATTAAGGTAAACACTAATAACACCGGGAAAATGTGGAATAATACTATACAGGTTGGCTAGCATTCACTATCGGCCAAACCCAATCAAAATAAAAAATAAAGTATATGTATTTCTCTTTGATAAATGGCTTTAACTTTGATTGGTTAAATCACATTAAAATACTACTTATTGTGTTTTAAATGGATGTTACTTGACAAAAAATGAAATACAAGTTTTGAATCGTGCTACTTTAAAATAATTGTACTCATTACTTTTAAAACAAAAATGTCTCAAAATAAAATAAAAAAAATTATTTGATTTATTTTAACTTTCTTTTTTTATTCTAAATTTATATAATACATGTACTAGTTCCTTGTATACATAAGGAAATCATTTTCTGGTTAAATGCCACCGGTACTTTATAACAAAATAGTTATATGCGTATGAAAGATATTCCAGGAGTAAAGAAGATTTGCAAAAAAATAAGTCATTTTCAATATAAATTCAAAAAGCTCCTAACAATCCAAAGTCCATAGTTATCCATGTTGAGAACTTTCAAATTGCAAAGACACATCCTCTATAGATCTTAGCATTTACATTTATTTACTCATGATACTTTCAAAATAATAAACAATGAAAAAGATTTTTAAAAGTAGGCCAATGTTGATATATTTTTTCTTCAAAAGAGACCAAACATTTCCCTCTAAAAAGCATGACAAGAGAGTTAAATTTCAAAATTCAAAAGGATTCATTTGCTATTACAGCCAATCTATTATCTTTTCTTTTTGATTCATGTATCTAGGGGTGGCAAAAATAGATATTAAGATGGTAAATTAAGATATCATTTCGCTATATATTTATTCAACAGATTCCAAACGTAACATGTACCCTGTATTCTTTGGATCGGAAATATCAAATTAAGTATCAAATTAAGAAGCAGTCATTGCTCATCAAAGCTATGCATTCGTGGTTCGTTATTGTTTAATTGTTTGCTTTGTTTTGCTTTTATTGTTCTTTATTTATTTTTTTCATTGCATATTTTGTATCATGCATTTTTTTCATTTAGGTATACCTTTACTCAGATGACATAAAATTCCACTGATAAGAAAGAAAAAAACAACTTATTGCACATTGTACACCTTTGATTCTTGTGTTAAATTTCAATTTCAAATAACTAGGTCAATGACTTACTTTTCATGCAAGTGGCCTCTGAATATTCCTCGGGAAATACCTCAATTTTTCACACTATGACCAATTTTTTCTATACACTCAAAATATAACAACCAACTAAACTCTTAAAAAAATGAAATATTATAGCAATGGAACAGCATTGCTTCATATAAAGTAATCACTGGAGTTGAGGCCGTAAATGTGATAATTATTACAGTCCGAATTTCCTCTTTCATATTTATTTTTTTTTTTTTTCCTATTTTTAATCAAATATTACAAAAATCTGAATGATAAGAACTCTATACTTTTTATAGGCTCAGATTACTTTTGTTGTCCTTATTCTCATTAATAATATTATATGGAGTCAATGATCAATTTTTTAGATATTCTGTCTGGAATGGTTTTTGAAGATATTTTTGAATTTCTTTATTTCACAGGATTCAATTATTTAAAATAATTCATGAGCTTAAACACAAATAAGATTTGCAAAATTATGCTTAAAAATACATGTTGCTTTTACTTTGTGATTAATATTGCAAGAAATAAATAGAAGTTTTGACAAAAAATGAAAAATAAAAAAATTAAATTTAAATAAAGAA